AAAATTCCAAAAATCATATTGATGAAACAATTCAGAAAAATTCATTCAGAAAAGCATAGCTAAAAGTAATTGGGTCCTATATCAAGCAGTCTTCTAAGAATACAAGGGAATGTACAGTCTCTGCTCCACCTGGCACCCTCCATACTTTATACTCTTTCTTTACTAGTAATCTTGATAAAACCATATTCTTTAACAAGGAGTCTGTATCGGGGAAACAGAAATAGACATTTTCCAAAAGTAGTACTGCCATTTATTCTTAGTCTAAAATAGCTACTGCAACTTTAAGCAGTAGCTTATTTTTTTTTTTAATGGAATGCAATTGCTTGAAAGCCAATACAAAGTCACACTTAAGCTCTTTCAGAACGCTTAAGGATCAAGCTTGGTTTTCATAGCATTTTTTACAGAACCTGTGACAGGCAATGGCAGTAACATAATTTTTAATATCTCCCCCATTCCCTTTATCTTAAAAAAGTACAAAATTCCTTAAGAAATAAAATGATGAAAATGCAGAAATACACAGGATCGTAAGTGCAAAGTATTCTAAGTGCATACTGCTCGAAATTCTGATAATCTGACCAGTTATGTTGATCACTATGATCAGTTTATATTGATCCCCAAATCACATTGAAAAATCATATAGAAAATCATAATATTCAATAAAGGCATGTTTAACAAGAAAAATTATTAATGATGTGCCTATTTGCCTTATAATTCCAGTATTTGATGCAAATGCTTTATTTCATGTTTTTCAATAGGCCCTAAAGCATTATGACATTTTACATTATCTTTTACATTTTTCCTAAGAAACAGAATAGTACTATTCTAAAGGATTGCCCATTCTGCCTTCTTCATTCTTCTGTTTGAAACTACAAATATAATTTCCCTCGGTTACACTTTTAAAAAACAGCTCCCAACTCTTCCTTTTGAAAGAAAATCATTAACCATTCTCTTGGGCTACCAAAAGAGTAGTCACTGCTCGTCATGTTAAAATAAAGCGAAACTGCTTGCCCATGATTCTTGTCTTAGAAAATTTAGAATTCTCACTAAAGAGCTGAGGACAGAAGAAGGTGCTGGGGATGTTCACAGATACCTGATTTTACGAGTTTTTGTGTCAAAGCTGGTCTGTAGATTAGTGTTACTCAGTGTTTATGAGGGTTGTTTGCCAAGACAAAAATAAGGTGCCTCCTCCCCACAAATTAAAGAATCAAGTTACAATCCATTATTTCATTTCTAATTGTTTTTCTTGGTAATAAGTGGGAAAGTGGATACTGGATAAAAGTCTTCCCAGAGCTAAAAGACTCCAACATTAAAGGCTCCAATTAGCTATAAATCAGTTGTCTTTCCTACTGGGGGAGAACAAGAGAGAAAAGAGAGGGGGTGGTGAGAGAAAAAGAGAATTGGAAGAGCTTCCAAATTAAATTCTGAAAAAGATACCTACTGCAGACTTTCAGGGGCTGCTAGGAAAATCCCATCAAAAGTAAATCTGAAACAAACCCTCTGCAATCTCGTGTGGATCTTGCCTCTTAAGATCTCTAAAGAGTGCCCGAAGAGGTTAGAGACCCCCATAAAACAAAACTTTTATGTGCGTGTTTCCCCAGCTTGTTCCTAAACCCAGAGACGTGCCACACACTGGCACTATTGTTATGCAAACAATGCCTAAAGGGTTATAACCATTAACGACCTCTCATTAAAATGGCTTTCAAAAATTTGTCACACCATCTAAAAGCTAACAGGTATATTAAAACCATCTAAATTCACATTCAAAAACACGCATCATACTAATCCTATTCTAAAACTCAAAGCAGCAAAATTTCAGAAATTTTTTTTTTGCATTTCTCTTTCAACCATTACGCCAGAGCCAAACAACTTACTCCTCTACAAAATTTGAGGTATCTTGTAATAAGCAAAATGAAACATATATTTAGCTATATCGTGTGTGCACGCTGTATTTAAGTTAACTGGGGGAAGTTTGGAATGGGAATGGAAATCAGGTAAGAGCACAGTAAAATGAGCTCTAAGAAATGCGGCTTTAAATCCCATGCCCCGCCTTCTGCTATAACATCGCAATCCCTCCGTGTACGTGATAAATTCCCTTCATGTGGAAAATTGATTCATTTTTTTCTATAGAATTTTGGGGGGGGGGGAAGCAAAATCAATTTACATCAGGTAGCAGGCCCATATTCTTTTTAAAGGTAGTTTAAGACCCAAATTTCCTACTTGCCAAACCTAAGACTTCAGAATTCGTTATGAAAAAAAAGTAAGTTTTTCAGTGCCACAATGGACCCGCTAATTTGTACGAATTTAGTCGTTTTTTGTTTGTATTCTAAATTTTCCTTCGTCTCCAAAATCCAGAGGAAATCTGCCATCGGATCCCCGGTGCGCATCCGTCAGGCTCCCGCGAAATACACGGGACGCGGGTCCCGACCATCTCTCCGGGATCCGAGGTAGCCCGCCGCCGCGCAGCCGGGGCCAGAGGATCGCGGGCGACGCGAGGATGCGGGGTTATGCGGGGATGTGCCGGGATGCGGGATGCGCGAGGGACCCGCACCACCGGCCGCTCTGAGGAGACCAGGAACCCAGCACTGATCTGAGGAAACTCCGGGTTCCCAGGACCCGACCCGGCTCTGCCCTGAGACCCAGCACGGCTCTGAGGACACCCGGGACCCAGGGTCCAGGTCTGCTCCAGCGTCCGCCGCTGCCCGGACTGCGCAGCGCAGCCTTCCTCCGTCAGGTCGCCCGAGAAGTCCCCTAACCGCGGCCGGCCTTCAGAAGCCACCGAGGTCCGCCGACGCGCAGGGACGGATGACAGACACGCTTCTGGAAAGCCTCTGCGGACAGACGGCGAGCTTACCTTGGTGTACTTGATCTCGAGGTTGGGCGTGGGCGACGGCAGGAGGTGCAGCGAGGCCATGAGCGCCGCGGGGTCGGCCTTCACCTCGCCCGGCATGGCGATCTCGCTGGAAGTCATGGGAGGCCGCGGCGTGGGCTGTGCGCTGGGCGCTGGGCGGCCTGGGCGCGCGGGCTGTATATAGGCAGGTGTCAAGCGCGGGCGCTTCTTATTGGACGTGCGGCCCACAGACGCGGGGGCAGGCCCATGAGGACGCCCCGCCGCGGCCCCGATTTGCATACGGCCCGCGCCGTGCTGCGCCCACACGGTCAAGTCCGCATCCCGCGGGCCCACGCTCACGCCGCGGCCCACGCTCACTCGGGCGACCGGGGGCCCCGACGGCGGCAGCGGCGCCTCCCACGGTACTGGGCTGGGGATCGCGTTCCTCCGTCGGCTGGAGCCAGGATCCGGACAGACCCGGTGGAGCAGCTCCGGCGTCCGGAGTACAGACCCGCAAATCCCCGCTCCTCCGGGAGGGCGCCTAGCACCCCAGAGACCCCTAGCTCAGCCCTTCACGTGGCCTGAGGGCGCGTGGCCACGGGCTGGGGACACAGCCCCCCACGCTCTGCAGAACCTTCTGGAGCCAACGACGTCCCATGCCACGCCAGGCTTCTCCGCCCAACTGCTGCCCTCTGCTGGCCCTGCGGCCTGGAGGTGCAGGGGCCTGTGCCTCAAGCCCCAGGTGTCTGCCTGGCTGGTTCGCAGGCTGGCCTTTCCTCTGGGTTTTTCAGCCCTTTCCTGTCATCACCCAGCACACACCCAGAAACTCTTGTGATTTGCTGTTGCCCTCTAGGAACAATTGCTATCCTGCCAGACGTCAGGACTGAGATCCATCTTCATGCTTTCTCCCCATCTCCATGCTTTCTCCCCGTCCAAGTATCCATCTGTGTATGATGGAGAGATGGCTGCAGATCAAGAACCTAGCTGGGCCTGGAGAGATGGTGTAGAGGTTAAGAGCACTGTCTGGTCTTGCAGAGGACCTGGATTCAATTCCCAGCACCTACATGGCAGCTGACCCCTCCCCCAACTCCAGTTCCAGGGGATCTGATGCCCTCTTCTGGCCTTCGTGGGCACTGCAAACATAGGTGTACTTATACTGCAGGCAAAACACTCATACACAGAAAAAGGAAAACAAAAAACCTAGACAACTCACTCCACATAGTCTTGATGGTCATTGGGCTAAATCGACACCCCACGTGAAGGGAGAGACCTTTTATAGGCCCTTTCTCCCCATTCCCAGTGAGAACCTCCCAGCTTTTTCATCCACGCTGTTTTCACTCTTATTTTTCCATGGAACAGGCTGAATTCCCAAGTAAATATTTCATCCTCACTATAAGTGGTGTTTTCGGTGCCCCTAAACTCAGAATACTTTGCATGTTGTCAACCAGAAAACATTTGCTTTAAATGTTTTCAGTAACTAAAATTGCCTGTGATTGGTGCTTAGATGAAAGCAGACATAAAGGACTTTTTAAGTATTAAGTTTGTGAACTAAGTTTCAGGCTCTCAGAATTCAAAGAATTTACCCAACTGACCCAAGTGGATTGTTTTTGTGACACAACAGTGGATCTTAATTTGAGCATTTGAGAGATCTCCATCTATGGTCAAAGACTATGCCTTAATAACATAAGTTTATTAGAATAACTTTTAGTAAAGCTGTAAAAGACTAGGGTTACTAAGAATAAAAAGTTTTGATGGGAGGCTCTGGGATGTAGGTCAGCTGGTAGAGCACGTGCCCAGAACGCTAGGTTCAACCCCAACACTCACTAGGGAGGTGGAGACAGGAGAATCAGAAGTTCAAGTTCACTCTCCTTTACATAGCAAGAGACTATCTTTAAAAAAATGATGATTTTAAGGTTTCATGAAGAAAGAGGAAAAGGTCTCAGCAAAACAAATTTTACAAAGCTATTTGCCCACCTTTCATTCAAGGCCCAGTGCTGGATGCCAGACCTTGCCACCAGTGAGCTCAGTTTCCCTACAGATAAATACACAGATCACTGACTATGAACTCTTGTGAGGCAAAGTCACAGAAGTGCATCAAGGACAAGTGAGTGCTCCACAGAAGGGAAGCTGACCTTTGAGCTGCACCCAAACAGTAGAAGTGAAACCACTGCAGGTGAAGTCTGCAAGGATGCAGGAAGAGAGCTCCGTGAACACTGCTGAGAGCATCAGATGCGGCTGGAGGAGCAGCAAACGAGGCAGGGAAGGCAGTCAACTCCAAGTTGTAAGGACCTTGATGTGTGAAGTACCCAGAAGCCATCCGAAGCTTCTGAGGGAAGAAAAAGGGCAGCTTGCGTTTGATTTGATGACTGAATAAGGTCAGGACAGATGGTCACATACTACAAACCACTGGTATAAATTCTCAAAGCAGAAGTCAGAATGGTTCACTTTTGACCCATGCCTGAATTGCTAGCTCTAGTCTTGAAAAAAAGAAGCGCATCTAAGAATCATGGGATTGCCAATATTTATTACCCAGTGAGATGGAGCAAATGGAGAGATTGTCTCCTATCCTGGAAAGCAAGGGAGTGTCACTTACTTGACTTCTCTGGACATCTCCAAGGTCATGCCCAGTGAGAGTTGGTTTGAGTTGTTCCCTCATGGCTTCTTTTGTGTGACACTTTCCAACTAGACACTGAAGTGATCTGCGTCTTCTGTTTTCCTCATGCCTTCCTTGGTTCTTAAAACAGCATGGAACATTCTGTGACTGACTGAAGCATTTCTGTTGACTTGATTTTTGAGCAAAAGACAAAGCACCACTGACCACTTCCACCACAAGTGAAGGCAACTTCCCTACTCTCTCTGATTAAACAGCATGTGTGACCTTCAGCTTTGTTTCCCTTCGCCCCAACTTTTCCTATGCATGTTTACGTTCAAAGATTTCTAACTTTTTCTTCATTAATCTTCTGGAAGGGAAAATCCTTCCCCATTTTAAACTTAATGATTATAGACACATTTTTTCTCACTTCTTTACTTCAAGGTGGGAGCATAATTTAGCAGAGAGTAAAGAATTATGGCTACAGAACTTCTGGTCTGCATCTTCTTGCAGACCCATAGGATTTATATTCCTGCTATTTCAAAGACTTCATGTCTCTTCTCGCATTTTATTTCATTTCCGCTTTATTGTCCTGTTTTATTATTGTCTCATTTCCTTCACAGATTTTACCACTAAGGAGACAGTCTTCATATTTCTAATATTGTGAGCTTTGGTCTTTTCCCTCAGTTTGGTTAAGAAATATTTTTCCCACCCTTACGATATTTCACCTCCCAATCTCCCCCACCTGTAATTATTTATTATTTAGAATACATCTTGTTTGAAAAGCCCTGCCACAAGGAAACTAAGCTACAGCATACTGTTTCCTTGTGAAAGCAATTTATTAGGCCTGGTGGAGCCAATATCCTGGAGTTGTAGAGGAGAAAAATAAATTCTTGACTCATATTTCCTCACCTAAATAATAGAATGCACCATTGTAATTTCAAGGCATTGGTTTTATGTGAAGGTTGACTTTAAGATATAAAATCATTACAATTTAGGCTGCATTTTAGATGCATTTGCGGGTATGCAAGTATTTTCTAAGACCTATGCTTTCTAAATGAGGGAACCTGAACAGGGTGCAAAGATTCCTCTCCAGGACAGTACCTTTTTACTTCAACAATAGCTGACATCCAGCTTGCATGTCAAACTTCTGTGTTCTGGGGCAATTTCTGCCTCAGGTGACCTGCTTAATGGCCTTCCTGTTTCCATTACTAACCACACAACATCCTACCTTTTCTAGCTGATACACTGGCATTTTAATTTATCTTCAAATATAAATCACACAATATAGCATTTCTATCATCTGTGTTAATCAAATCCATTTCTTAAATGTATGGAAGTCCAATGATTTGAAAGAGGCACATTTTTTTGAAATTAAAGAAAAAATAGGGCCCTTAGGTTGCATGCAAAATAACCTCTGTGCTTATTTCAGATATAAGTGTCTCCTAATGATCTCATCCATCTCAAGTAGGAGATATCTGACCACTTTATTTGAAATATTTCCTGAAAATAGGCAAACTTAATGCAAAGCATGTTTATAGAGAAATATATTTAATTCATTAGCACAAGCTTGTATAAAGAGCTTTACCTATTTTTATCCAGAAATGTTTAATGAAGTATTTTGGACCCATTATGAAAACTTCTATAAAATAAATGTGCTTATTTAACATCAGCATTAACTTTTTATTGGCGATCTAAACACCCATTTAATTAGCTCTTCCTCCTAATGCCCAGAAGAGGCTGAGGTTGGGTTATTTATTAGCCATAAAAATTCTCTAGATATTAACTCCCTCATTCCTTAATGTAGCCTCTGGTCACTGTATTCCATGGACAGAGATGTTTGTGGTTGCAGGAAGTAGAATTACGAACTGGTTATGAATCTAAAATCCCATGTACAGCATGATGGTTTCCTTTTGAAATAGATCCTCCATGTTCAGGGGACCCCAGGAGACGATTTTAAAAGCTTGAACTAGAGATGTATTTGTTGTGAAGTCAGATTCCACTTCATCCGTAATCTGCAATGTGTGATCTGGGTATGGGGATGAGCTTTGTACTTTATCAGTAACCACACTTAACCAAGAGAAATTAAAATTCTAGCCTGGCTGTCTTCTCTGTAGGGCCTGAGGAAAAAGGCATTAGCTCCCTCTGCAGCTGATGGTGTGTATGTGCAGGTGAATATTGTTGGTTTAAATAAAATACCTTACCATCAATGTACTTTGTCAGGTACTGGTGAGAAATCTTTAGGAAAATAATTTGAATTCGTTTGTAGGAAAATGCCTCAGAGATCAGATAAGTTTTAGACTGCAGTTAGTTTAGAAGAAAAACTTTAGGAAAACAATCAAATTTGCCGTGAAAAGTCTATACTTAGATCCTGCCAGTAACATTCACATGATATTTAGAACATTCAACATCACAGATGGAATTGTGTGGGCCATTCATATACTGGACACAACTATATTTAGAACGTTCAGCATCACAGATGGAGTTGTGTGAGCTATTCATATACTGGATATAACTATAATAATAGTTATGTCCATTAATTTATTTATTGGTCCAGTTAAAGGAGTGTCCATTTATTTATTTATTTATTGG